ACGCATGTGTATCTGCTAGTGTTGAAGGTGTTTTAGAGAACTATGGGTAGCAATGACCACTTCCTTCATAGCACCCTCAATAAAAAGACTAGCTCCTTCCTTTTGGTCACCCATCTCTGGAATATCACCACACACAAGATGAAAGACAATGATGTGTGAATAAGCTCAATGTATTTATGGTAAATGGCCATGTAACAACAGATAAGTAATGGTTAAGTATTGAGTAAGTACAGATTAGTTCCTCAGTAGGTACTTGGGAGGAGGCTTCACTTTCCATCATCTCGAGACAGTCGGATGCCGACAATGGATGACGAAGTGACAGACGAGCGAAATCAAGATGAAACAGGGATGTTAAATCACTGTGATGTTGCAAATTATCTGCATCCTTCGTGGAGTTTACAAAAGAGAGTCCACAGGCACGGCATTCATCTGGGATTTGTTCCTTATTGCTTTCATAGATAACTACTTATTAGTCCCTGAAAAAGACTGCTGGGTGTTTACCAGTAACTACTGGTTAACTACCTATAGAGCTCCGGGAGTTGACGTCACTTCTCCCGGCATTCAACAGTTCAAATCGAAACGGCGCCATCTTGGCAGGTAGAAGCCGGCAGCTGGACTATTTGTTATTGTCAGAAAATGCAATCAGACAGGAAATATGGTAGATTCCTGTTGTGCCCCAGGATGCAGAACAGACATGGACGACATAAGGAATGAGCCATCTACAGGATTCCCCAAGATCCGGAGCGCCGCAAACGTTGGATCATTGTAATAAAACACACTAGTGACCGGGCTTAAATGAAACTGTGGGATCCCGAGAGTAAAGGTTTTTGCTTATGCAGCGACCACTTCATATCAGGTACTTAAACCAACGTTTCCTCAACTGTGTGTGGTATTTATTTTAAATGCTTTTATTACGATCCTTAGTAGGCTTCCTAAACTTATTTAGGTGGGGCTTTATCTGTCTTATTACTCATAGCAACAAGTAAACGTCACGTAAAACGTTGCCTCGTGATTTCTGCGCGCTGCCGTTTACGTGTTTTATGATCACAGCAATTAACCGGCTAAGCTGTATTTAATTTTTAAGCAATGGTTGATCAATTGTCAGATCACACATAAAAAGCACTTTGGATTGCTATTATCTGTCTCACCGAGACAGATCTCAGACAGATCCTGAGACGCTCCTGCCTGACATATTTATTTTATTCACGGAAAACAATCAAACTAGTGATTTCTCTTGGCGTTCAGTTTATACATTCAAACAGCACAGCACTCTATTTAAACTACTTACGTGTAAATCTGTTATTTGTCCATCCATCCATCAATCCATCCATCCATTTTCATCCGCGTATCCGGAGTCAGGTTGCGGGGGCATGTAGCGTTGAGAGGCCCAGACTTCCCTCTCCCCAGCCACCTGAGCCAACTCCTCTGGGTAAATCCCAAGGGGTTCCCCGGCCAGGTCCGGTAAGAAGTCTGCTCCGACAGCTTCTGGCGTTTTTAAAAAGTATCCCAGGGACACGGTAAGGGTCGGAGATGTTTAGTCTATTTAATTTCTGACTATATAAAATGATTTCTTCGGTTTTAAAGAGTAAAGTAAACTCCGACGAAGTAAAATCCAAGCCGATCCCGTTCACATTCATGGTTACATCCGTGTTTGTTTAGCTTCTTTTACCTGCCAATATGGCGTCTACCAACTGAGAGTCACATGGGGTCCGGAGCTCTATTGTTCCTGCTTCCTAACTCATTACCCCTAAGTCATTCCCTAGTAATGAAGCACAGCTGTGCGTACCTTATTGTAAAAAGTTACAGAAACATTAATGTAATATTATATTACATCTATATGAAGTTTTGTATGAGCATTTTTTATGCAAAGGAACCTTAGTGGCAGTTTTTCTTAAATTCTGACACAATACAAAAAATACAAAGTAAACTAAAAATATTTCAGGCCCACTTGTGAATGTCTAAAGCCCCGACACTTCACCCCCAAAACAAGTCATAACATTAATTATTCAAATGTTTTTGTTTTTATGTTAATATATATTTTTTAATGTAATTTTTTTATTTATTCACAAAATATGGCACCAATGTGGTTAACCTTGTAATGAGTGATAATTACATTTAATTAAGGACCATAAGACATTATAAATTCATATCGAGTATGAATTCCATCTTATGGACACTGGGTTATTTAAATCAGAAGATTAGGTCTTTTTATTGCAGGGTTTAGATAACACTTTGTATTAACTGAGAGACAAGAGAAGAGAGAGAGACCTTCAAATGTTTAAGGTAATTTATTACTAAATATTTTTTAACAATTTAACAAGACTACCTCTCTTAATGATGGATGCTCTGTTTGAATGAAGTGTGTGTGTGTGTGTGTGTGTGTGTGTGTGTGTGTGTGTGTGTGTGTGTGTGTGTGTGTCAAATTCAGAACCCTCGTATCCGGAGAAACAAAGTCTGAGTGGGAGATGATGTTTTGCTCCTAACTGATCAGAGTTTGAGACCCGTAGTCATAAACACATGAGACGCCATTTATGTCGCATCCACATACCCTCAGTGAGACCTCCGTACAGATCTGGATGCCAGGTCCACAAACCTCCTCTGGTACTGGAGCCAATGAAGCAGCGTCGACAGTACGACAAACCAGTCTTTGGATAGTCTCCAGGTAAAAAGCGACAGGTGTTTCACAGCGTCAAAAAGGGGACCCTCCTTGGGTCAGCGAGTTCAGCTTTAATTCTGAAAGGTACCGTTGCTTGGTTCACAAAACAACAGATTTTTCCCAGCTTGAATGGTTTTCAGCTTAAAAAGAGAAGTACAGATGGCCGGTCCAATACTTCACTTAACATGCGGTGAACTTCATGGGATCTTGAGAACTGAACTTAAGATGGCGTTGGAACTGTTTTATTAATCTGGATGTTTTTGATTCTGGACGAATCAAAGCTGACAGATTAAATAAACACCACAGAGACTCTGCCACGCTTCAGACTAGGAAGGTTCTGATTGGATCAGCACAGCAATGTGTCATTCGATTGTTTACCTTAGTGTATCAGTGTGTCTAGTGACTAGAATAAGTCATATTACTTATTAAAACATGTGAATCATAACATTGTGATTTCACAGATCGGTCACATTGTATTATTGACTAACAGTTGTTTTGATTAGCTTTATTGAAAATAGAGTTCTTTGATTTAAAAAAAGAAAAGAGTCTCTTCATCTTCTGTCTTCATTGCTGGAAAGTAAACAGTTTAGAAGCGAATGCATGACTTTGAGGCTGTTTCATGCACTCTGGCATTGTGTCAAAGGTTAAATAACCTTGGAGGAATAGCTCCTTCATCACGTTACAATCTCAAAAACATACACATATTTTACAATGTTGGGTGAGGACTAAATCTAAGGATGAAATTTATGTAAAAAAAATTGACTTTTGAAATATATAATTTTAATCACATTTTTTGATCAAAGTCATTTTTTGAGAAAAGGGTCCCCAATGTATTTTTTATTAAAGGAAATGTAGAAGACTTAAGCTCCCTATTGGGTTATGGGTCCCTGGAAGAACGAATAAAATAAGCAAGTCACTGGGGTTAGAAGAGCTACTTTCCAATCTGCTTTTCCTGAATCGTACATGTAGTATACTTCTATTCAAATGAAAACTAATGATGGGTGTTTCGGCCAGGCCAGTCACGTACTTTGACATTTATCAGCTTGTAAAATATCATAATTAGACTACAAGTCAGACATCGGTACGCTGCATATATGACGTCACCACAGAATTCTCCCCTAGCATAGTTGCTACTTACCACATGGCAAAATTTATGATGGCTCCTTCCTCCTGAAGGAAGGATTGAAGTTTGCTGAACTTAGAGCCATTTTTCTCAGTTTTCTCCGTGTCTGATTCGATAGCGTCACTTTCGTAAAGTGCATTTGTAGTCCTGGACTTATTGTCACACAAAACCTAAAATAGCATTTCCCTATTCAAAAATAAGCGCATTTCCTGGTATCAAAATGCATCTTTAAAATTCACTGGCATCATATGTGAAATCCATGGCACATAACAAGTGGAATTACAAAATCATTTTTAGCCCCGTTGACTTACATTATTTTTTTTCGTTCTTCCGGGCACCCATGGTCCGGAAGTAGATGGGCGTGAGTTAGGCTCCCTGTAGATGTCAGCTTGAGGCTGCTGTCTTCTGCATGGCCCTAGTGCCTAGCCATGTATGACAGTTTTGGACAACAAAAGCTGATGGAAGACAGAATAAAGGGCATTTGGGACAAAAGGGGCAGGTGCACAAGCACCCTATGACTCCCTGCGCCTGCGCCTGTATGAGAGGTTCTCCACTCAATATCAGAGAAGGAGAAACAGCCGGCTGCTACCACTTCAACTTTAGGACAAACTACCAGAGTCCCATAAGGCAAATCACCATTTGAAGTCACGGACAACAAAAGACGTTTGGACCTAAGAAAACAGTGACTGGTGATTAGCACTATTGTTTCCTCTGGTACCGTGGGTTTTCAGGTTCTGGCAGAACTCAGGGATGATACATGAGCGGAGGAGTGAGTGTTCTGTAACTGTGCTTGTGTTCAAAACCTAGCTTGTTCTGTAGATTCACTATAGCAGCTCTGATGAACTATTGAACTGATTCAGACTAAAAGAAACAAACAATGTTTGAAAACACTGTAAAACTCACCTGATAATCACCTGAAAAAGTGGGAAACACACTGGACATGCTGTTAGTCCAACACAGAACTCCTCCAAAAGCAGACGCATGCCATTATCTGTGTTTAAGGGTAATTTTAAATCATCATTATTTCCCACAGACTGAGGGGGCAGAGCTCTGAGCACACCTCGTCAGAGGCAGACATGATGTCATTAGAGTTTCTGTAGTCGGTCACACTGAGGTGAAACACCTGCAGCTTAAAAGCTAAGATCCACTCTGTCTGAGCTTTTATCTGGTTTACGCCCTCTTAAAACCCATTTAAGGTCTTGTATAAAATCTCAGCTGTACTGGATGGTGTTTACTAAACTGTTGCATACGCTGTAATCAAAAATGGCACAGATCAGAGTTGCAGTGGTGAAGTGACAATGTTCTGATGGTTTATTCTGGAGAATGATCCTGTTGGAGTGAAGTAAATGACAATGGTATGAGGAAGTTTTAACTGAGCCTGCACAGAAAACCTGAATGACAGCAGTTTCTCCTCCCACAACGCTAAGGAAGTGTTTAACCTGAATCTACCTTAGAAAAGCAGCTGGGACCGTCACGGGTAAGTAGGTTCCTGCTGAACCTTTGACCCGGTGAACTTTGTTTTCTCATTTAAACCAATTCTGTTGTCTCTAAAGTTACAAGTTTGGTGTAGAGCTGCTGGAGTAGAGCTGCTGGAGTAGAGCTGAAGGTGTGAGCAGACGGAGAGAAAAGAAAAAAACATGAGTCACACTGACTGGATGTCTCAACTGCCACCGGCGCTTCATTCCATCCCTCTCAGTAACCTGGCTATACCAGGTAGGGAGCAGATAAAAGGACTTGGTCTCGTTTGCTGATGTGTCCCTTAGAGGGGACATCGGGTTCTTGATCTATTGTATTCTATTGTATTCTATTTAGACTTGTTTTAATCGTTTAGAGAGACTGGGTTTTAATATAAATGTTTAGATTTGATTTATTTTCAGATAATTTTTGATAACTTTTTAAGAGTTAGTGTTGAATTACCAAATATTCATAAACAAGGCTTATGAACACTAACACACACACACACACAAACACACACACACACACACACACACACACACAATGTGTGTTGATGTAACACATTCTTCCTGAACTGTATTAGATTTTATTTTTCTACCAAACCAAATGTGTTACTGATCACTTTTATTTTGAAATTTTGTCAGTAACGGCAGATTTATGTCCTCTGTCCATTCCAGGGAGCCACGACTCAATGAGCTATGACCTGGACATCAACTCCTCTATTATAAAGCCAGAAGTCCTGAGAAGATTCAGCAGGATTTGTTTTGTGCGTAGGATAGTACGCAGATGGGCCATGACTCAGGTCAGGGAGGGTCTAATATTGGTTGTGAGATTTTTATGCGCAGGAAACAGAAGAGTGTTTTGATGTGTGTATCTCAGGAGGTGACCATCACAGAGCAGCTGAATGCAGGAGTTCGCTACTTTGACCTGAGGATTGCTCGCAAGCATAATGACTCTAATCCCACCAGGCTTTACTTCCACCATGGCCTCCTGACACGGACAGATGTGGAGGTAAACAATCTGTGTGTTGGTGATGTTTTAATGGGCATGATCAGAATTATTACCATCTTACTTAGTGTCCCTGTTCAGAGAATAGCTGATTACATCCTACAGGACTGATGAGCTAACCACTAGTCAGAGAGCGTTCGAATGGACCAGAGGGATCTGAGTCCAGATGCAGGGCTCTACCTCTGACCTTACCTTCAGCGCTTCAACTGTAGCTTCTTTTCAACGGGAGCACGATGTGTTGCTTTTTCAGATATTTTTGCTGACTTCATGTTGTCAGACAGCTTCTGTTGAAGTGATTCCTTAATTCTACATGTCTGGCGATAACTTTTTCACAAAGAGCTCGATTATGGTTCAAGTAACTGAAAACACAAATATTGGTAGGAAGGCAAATGCAGAAACCTGTCGCTGTTCAGGAAGTTCCGTATAACCAGTAAGACAGCCATTATTTAGAACTACTGCTAAAAAAAAAAACAAAGTGGTTAAAATTTGCTCCGTGACTGGTAGACAGAAAATGTGGCTGGGCAGTTTTTCCAAAGACTGAACTCAACTTTTATCTATCAGTGAATAAAATGAGCCCATTTAAGGGAATGAGGTTTCTCTAACATCTAAAATCAACGTGACATTAAAGAACAGAGTTTCATTTGAAAAATGTCTGTTTCTAACTAACTGATTTGTGTTTTTTACCACTGTGGTCAGACTGTTCTCAGGGAAATAGATGCATGGGCGAGTAGACATCCTAAAGAAGTCATCATCGTTTCTTTATCCCACTTTGAAGGCTTCGACAAAAAGATTGAAGCCCAACTTCACATCCATCTCATCCAGTTCATCAAGGACTTGTTTGGAGCCAAACTCATGCACAAGATGGTGAAATAACTTTGAAAACACACAAAACAAAACTTTTGTTCTAAAACACAAAATCACTTCCTGCTTTGTTTAAATCTTTTCTAAACACAGCGTAGTAGCAGATTTGTTTTTACCTTTGTTTACTGACAAGTTTCAGCTAACGCTGTAGGCTTCCTCAGAGCACTGCCGACGTTGGCGGCGTCACTTCCTTCTCCGTTTGTCTGCTGGCAGCAGAGGACAATGTCGCCCTCCTCGCTGATGAAAAGGTCCCATGAGCGATCCAATGCGAGAACTCCATTGTCTCTGTTCATTGTCCTGGGTCCAAACAATAACAGAAAGAAAAAGAAAAAAAAAAACAACCAAAACGAAGAACCAAAAATCCAAAAAGACAGGAACCAAAGCTGGTGATAAGTCTTCCATACATCAAAGGCATAACAGAAACAATTATAATAACGATGAAAAAAAGAATTCAATTCAAATAAATTCAATTGAATTTTATTTATATAGCGCCAAATCATGACAAGACTCGTCTCAAGGCACTTCACATAATAAACATTCCAATTCAGGTCAGTTCATTAAGCCAATCAGAATTAATGTTTCCTATATAAGGAACCCAGCCAATTGCATCAAGTCACTGAATAGTGTCAGTGACTTTATAGCAGTCCTCATACTTAGCAAGCATGTAGCGATAGTGGAGAGGAAAACTCCATTTAACAGGAAGAAACCTCCAAAGGATCCTGGCTCAGTATAAGCAGCCATCCTCCACGACTCACTGGGGATCGAGAAGACAGAGCGCGCACACACACACACACACACACACACACACACACACACACACACACACCAAGTGTCTACGGTTACAGTGTGATTTCTTACTAAATATTCTATTTGGCGTGAGATAAACTTGATTGTATTTATACTAGTGGATCTATAATTAAACGGATAAACTAGTAGTAGCACATCCAACGTCAAGGAAAGCAAAAAGTTATCATCAGGAGAGGGGGAATGTTTAAGTGGTTAGCAGCAGTGTGCTAGACGATGGCCCCCTCCATGAGGCCACCACAGCTCAGCAGAACATCATTGTAGCTTCTTCTGCGGACAACAACACTTAGAGAAAAAATAAAGTAAACAGCTGAAATTGCAGAAAATAATACAGTTAAAGAGCAGATTGTAGAAGAAAGCAGTAGAGTGTGAAAAGTGGTCAGTGTAGCCTCCGGCAGTCTAAGCCCATAGCAGCATATCTACAGAGATAACTCTGGATAACCTAGTCTTTTTAGATGGAGGCATGTTGGAGGCAGGGCAAGGGAGAGCCGTCTTTACCGACTGTACACTCCACCTCCCTCTACTCCCTCACTTGTCCAGATCTAGGCTAACATCAGATTTTAACCTTAGGTTCTATCTAATAAAATTGTTTTAAGCCTAGTCTTAAAAGTAGACAAGGAGTCTGCCTCACGGACAAAGACTGGGAGCTAGGAGTCTGATAACTAAAAGATCTGCCTCCCATCCTAATTTTAGATATTCTGGGAACCACCAGTAAACCTGCAGTCTGAGAGTGAAGTGCTCGGTTAGGAATGTAAGGAACAATCAGATCACTGATGTATGATGGAGCTTGATTATTGAGCTTTATATGTGAGAAGAAGGATCTGAAAATCTATTCTGAATTTAACAGGTAGCCAATGTAGGGAAGCTAAGACAGGAGAGATATGATATCTCTTTCAGATTATTTTTAATTCTCATCTGAACTCTCGTTGCAGCATTTTGGACGAGCTGAAGACTTTTTACTACATTCTGTGGACTTCCTGAGAGTAATGAATTACCGTAATCCAGTCTTGATGTAATAAATGCATGAACTAGTTTTTCAGCAACACTCCTGGAAAGGATGCTTCTAATTTTAGCAATATTCTGAAGGTGGAAAAAAGAAATCCTACAAACCTGCTTAACGTGGGATTTGAATGACATTTCCTGGTCAAAGATAACATCAAGGTTCCTTACTTTGTTCTCGGAGATTAATGTAATGCCATTCAGGTCAGGTGATTGACTAAGCAATTTCCTTTTCTGGATTTCTGGTCCAAAGATGAGAACTTCCATCTTGTCTTGATTTAAAAGCAAAAAGTTTAGAGTCATCCAATTTTTTATGTCCTCAAGACAAGCCTGTAATCTACCTAACTGATTAGGTTCGTCAGGGTTAATGGATAGATATAACTGAGTATCGTCAGCATAACAGTGAAAGTGTATCCCATGCTATCTAATGATTTTACCAATTGGGAGCATATATATAGTAAAAAGAATTGGTCCAAGCACTGAACCCTGTGGTACTCCACAAATAACCCTGGAGTATGAAGAAGAATTGTCATGTACATTTACAAAATGAAATCTGTCAGACAAGTAGGATTTAAACCAGCCTAGCGCTGTTCCTTTGATCGCTACAACATGTTCAAGTCTTTCTACAAGAACATTGTGATCTACTGTGTCAAAGGCAGTACTGAGACCTAACAAGTCTAGAACAGACACAAGATTCTTATCTGAGGCCATGAGAATATCACCTGTAACTCTCACTAATGCAGTTTCAGTGCTGTGATACTCTCTAAAACCAGACTGAAATTCCTCAAACAGAGCATTAGTGTTTAAATGCTCACATACTTGGATGGCCACTATTTTCTCCAGGACTTTGGATAAAAATGGAAGGTTAGATATTGGTCTATAATTCTCTGGGTCATCTGGATCCAGAGAAGGCTTCTTAAGTGAAGGTTTGATTACAGCAACCTTAAAATCCTGTGGTACATATCCATTTACTAAGGATAGATTGATTATATCTAGAATGGGGGCAGTAACCAAAGGAAATGCATCTTTAAATAATTTGGTTGGGATTGGATCTAAAATGCAAGTTGAAGGTTTAGATGAAGCTTATATTTTTGATAACTCTGAAAGCTCAACTGGATCAAAACGGTTCAAACACAGATGAGGTTCTACAGTTACCTCTGATGCTGCTTCACTTACTGAGGAAGAAGAAATCACATTAGGGAGCATGTTAAAGATTTTGTTTCTAATAGAATTAATTTTGCTTGTGAAAAATCCCATAAAGTCGTTACTGCTGAGGGCTAAGGGAATAGATGGTTCAGAGCTATGATTCTGTGTATGTTTGGCAACTGTACTGAAAAGAAATTTAGGATTATTCTTATTCTCCTCAATAAATGCTGAGAAATAAGCAGTTCTAGTTTGTCTAAGCTTATTTTTACAAAGCACAAGACTATTTTTCCAGGATAGGTAGGCCTCCTCACGGTGCGTAGAGCGCCATGTTCTCTCCAGTTTCTCTAGAGTTTTGTTTTAAAGCTCGTAAATGAGAATTAATCCAGGGAGCCAACTTCCTGTCCATAATTACCTTATTTTTTAAAGGGATAACATCAACTAATGCAACACACAAAGAGGAAGTCACATTATGAACTAAGGCATCAATTTGTGAGGGGCTAGAAATGAAAATATTGCCCTCTGCTACGTTCCTCTGAGATGCTGAGGACAGTAAAGATGGAACAGTTGATTTAAAAGATGCACCGACTATAGTGAAATTTACTTTCATGTCTCGAGAACTCAGTTATAAAAAACTCAAAGGTTATCAGAAAGTGGTCCGAGAGGACTGGATTATGTGGAAAGATCGTTATTTCCTCACACTCTATGCCATAAGTCAGCACAAGGTCTAATGTATGATGGCAGGAGTGGGTGGCGCTATGTATTCTTTGAGTAAAACCAATTTAGTCTAAGGTATTACTAAAGGCTACATTGAGGCTATCATTTTCAATGTCCACATGAATGTTAAAATCCCCCACTATAATGACCTTATCAGTATTTAGCACCAAATCAGATTTAAAAAAAAATCAGAGATCTGATCCAAAAACTCAGAGTAAGGGCCTGTTGGATGATATAAAACTACAAACAAGAGTGGTTTTACAGTTTTGCAACCTGGATTAGGAAAACTAAGAATAAGATGTTCGAACGAACTGTAGCTATTAATTGGTAAGGGATTGATTAATAAGTCAGAATGAAAAATGGTTGCTACTCCTCCTCCTTGCCCTGTACTTTGAGCAATATGATGCTTTATATAATTAGGAGCCGACTCATTTAAACTAGCATAGTCCTCTTGCTGCAGCCAGGATTCTGTGAGAGAGAGCAAAGCAATCTGATTATCACAAATCAAGTCATTAACTAACAAAGTTAAATAGATCAATAACCCACATTTAATTTTTCTAATTTTCTGCTCAGTTGAATTTGTTCTAATATTTATGAGATTTCCATGATTTGCTTTATTAAGCCTGATATTTAATCTGTGTGATTTTGGCTGTGGGCAGGACACTGTCTCTATGGGGTAGTGGGTGGGTAACAGTACAGAAGCTGCAGAGGGGTGTGTTAAACTACAACTCTGCTTCCTGGTCTGGACCCTGGGTTGTAATGGAGGACTAATAAAACTGGCCATGTTCCTAGAAAGAAGAGCTGCTTCATTCAAAGAGGGATGGATGCCGTCTCCGCATCAGACCAGGTTTTCCCCAAAACGTTTTCCAATTATCAATGTAGCCCATGTTGTTTTCAGGACACCACCTAGACAACCAGTGGTTGAAGGACAGCATGCGGCTAAACATGTCGTCACTGGTCCGATCGGGTAGGGGGCCAGAGAAAATTACTGAGTCCGACAAGCTTACACACCGAAGCAAAATTAATTTTAGTGACCTCCGATTGGCGTAACCGGGTGCTGTTACCGCCAGCGTGAATCACAATCTTACTGTATTTATGCTTATCCTTAGCCAGCAGTTTCAGGTAAGATTTAATGTTGCCCATTCTGGCCCCAGGTAAACATTTAACTACGGTTGCTGGAGCCTCCAATACCACGTTTCTGACTATGGAGCTGCCAATGATCACAGTCGGCTTGTCAGTGGGTGCGTCACTGAGCGGGGAAAATCTGTTTGAAACGTGGACGGGTTGGTGGTGGCCCACGGGCAGAGTTCTATGCTTCCTGCGTACAGTCACCCAGCCGGCCTGAGGTCCCGGCTGCTCGGGTTCTGCTGGAGGATCACTACGGGGTGGTTCTGAGCTAGTTAGCCCCGCGCTAGCTAAGCTGCTACGGCTGTTTACTGGCTTTCCAACAACGCAGAGCCAGGCCTCAAATTCCGACACCCTCGCCTCCAACGCTACAAAAATGCTACATTTGTTACACGTACCATTATCACTAAAGGAGGCAGAGGAGTAACTAAACATCTGACACAGAGAGCGAGAGACAGGAGATGGAGAAGCAGAGACAGAAGTAGCCATAACCGTGCTGAGGCTAAGCTAACTGGAGGAGCAAACTGTTCAACACCAAATAAACTGCGTGCGAACTCAAATGGTTCCCTAAAAGCTAGGTGGAACAACAGAAAATGTGTGTTTTAGCGTGCTTATGTGCTACAGTAACTCAGAGATCCTAGTACAGAGAAATTAAATCAGTTTTAGCAAGCCACAAACACCAAACAGCTACACTTAGTGCAACACTGAAAACAGGAAACGACTTACCGCCAGGGATAAGGAGTGTCTGAGTGTATACTGATCAAACACACCAACAAAACCATACATGACAGTCAGAAAAAGGTTAGTAAAAACAAGATACCAGCAGGACATAAATGTGGAGTCTCCACAGTAAAACATACATAGGAGAAACCGAACACCAACTCAACACACGAACAATAGAACATAGAAGGGAATGTGAGAAAGAAACAAGCCAAAGACACAGGAGCAGCAAAACAACGAGGTACAATGCTGTAACAGATCACTGGACAAGAGAAAACCATAAAATGGTCTGGGACAGAACAAGGATCATAAACACTGAACAACAAAAATACAAAAGATGGATAAAGGCAGCCATAGAAATAAGGAGACGTGGACACAACCATGAAGGAGGAGAAGAAGAAGAAGAAGAAGAAGAAGAAGAAGAAGAAGAAGAAGAAGAAGAAGAAGAAGAAGAAGAAGAAGAAAATATAATTTCTATAGCGCCTCTCAAGATCAAAACCACGAGGCGCTTCACAAAAACAAAAAATGTAAAAATATAAAAAGCATTTAGAAAATGTTTAAAATTATATTTAAAATGAGCAAAAAGAGACAATTGTGATAAAATAATGTTACAAAAGAGAGAGAGAATAGTTAAGAGGGAAATCAGTGGTTCCTGAGGAAGGTGGAATAGGTGGGGAGAGCAGAATAAAGAGAGAGTGGTGAAGAAGGTCATACAAAAGCCAGCTTGAACAAATGAGTCTTCAGCTGCTTTTTAAAGGAGACCACTGAGTCCACTGATCTCAGGCTCAGGGGGAGAGAGTTCCAGAGTCTGGGGGCCACAGCAGCAAATGATCTGTCGCCTTTGGTCTTTAGCCTGGTGCTGCACAACCAGTAGGCTTTGATCGCTGGAACTCAGGGACCTGCTGGGAGTGTAGGGACTAAGAAGATCACCAATGTAAGATGGTGCTTGTCCTTGTAAGGCCCTATAGACCAGAACCAGGATCTTGAAATGAACCCTGAAGTTGACTGGCAGCCAGTGAAGCTGGAGGAGAAGCGGGGTGATGTGGGTGTGTTTGGAGGACTTGGTCAGAAGCCGAGCAAAGAGCATTCTGAACAACCTGTAGACGGTTCAGGGAGGTTCTGCTCAGACACGTGAAAAGAGAGTTACAGTAGTCTAAGCGTGAGGAGATGAAGGTGTGGAGAACTGTCTCAAGTTCAGAGCGGGACAGAATGGGACTCAGCTTAGCAATGTTCCTGAGATGGAAGAAGGAAGAACGAACAAGAGAACTGACATGAGAATCCAGGGTGAGAGCTGAGTCAAAGGTCACACCAAGATTCCTGACAGAAGGTTTGGTGTGGGAAGCAAGCTGACCAAGAGAGTCTCTGACTTTGGCAACCAGCTTGTCTGGGGCACAGATGAGGATCTCAGTCGTATCTTCATTCAGCTGAAGAAAGCTCCCAGCCATCCAGGTTTTGATAGAGTCTAAGCAGGTGTGTAACAGCTGCAGCTTAGACATCTCATGGGGCTTGAAGGAGATGTACAGTTGGATGTCATTGCAAAAAGATGGTAGGAGATTCCTTTGAAGGAGCTCAGGGTGTGCTGAAGAGGAAGCAGATAGAGGAGGAAGAGCAGAGGCCCCAGCACAGAACCTTGTGGGACACCATGGGTAAGAATGAACAGAGACAATGGGTTCTACACATTGGATCATTCACGGGACTGTGTCATCAGCAAGGAGAGCACGAGCAGTAGAGGGCGACATTGTCCTCTGCTGCTCGCAGATAAACGGAGAAGGAAGTGACGCAACATCTGCGTGTTCTGAGGAAGGCTACAGTGTTAGCCGACACTCGTCAGTAAACAAAGGTCAAAACAAATCTACTACGCTGTGTTCAGAAAAAACTAAAACAATGGAAGGATTACACAAAACAAGCTTCTTGCTTTTGTAACTTGGATTTTTACAGGACACCCCTACCTTAAATGCTTGCTGGGGCCAAGGAAAAAATGTTATTGTTTCGTATGATCACCCAGCATATCACCAGCCTGCACTGTGGAGGAAAATCCCCTATTACTATGGAAAGAGTATGGATCGTTCAAATATTATAGCAAAACTCCAGGATGTGTTGGAAAAGCAAAAGCCTTCCAGCTGTAAGTGTTCCTATCTGATTGTTTTAGGGCAGGGCTATTTAATTCCGGCCCTAGAGGGCCGGTTCCAGCACGTTTTACAGGATTCTCGGCTCCAACACACTAGATTCAGTGGTTGAATCACCTGTGCAGCAGCTCACCGGGCTCTGCAGAAGCCTGTTAATCCTCTCAGGCTCAAAATAAGTTTTGATAAAAGGATGAACAACTAAGTCCTTCAGGGATACTTCTGAGTTAAAAATGCTCATGAAGTACGCATTTGGAGTAACCAGGTAGGTAGGTTTTCACTGTTGCAAATCTGCAACGCCTGCCTCCAGGGGGTTAATCACCTGCTGACTGAAATCAGATGTGTTGAAGCAGAGTTAAAACTAAAACGTGCTGGATACCGGTGTCGGTACGGGATCTGCTCGGGTGCAAGATCGGCTCGGGGTCCTTCGACTGCCGATGACGTCAAAGTATGGCAAACCCACTCAGACAAAATACACTACACATCTATACTGTTGGAAAGAATTTAGCAGTTTCGTTATTAAAATAATGTTTCGTAAGACGTAAGTTTGTGTTTATAATGGTATTTGTAAAATAAAACACTATATTGTATTCATAATGTTGAACTCTTTGAGCACATTCCTTGAAGGATCATAGGTATTAGCAACACCTGTGAAATTGTATTTTGCAGGAAAGAAGTGTGTCCCGTTTATTGAAGTATTTTGTGTTTAGAGTTTTTGACGTCTTGTCCATGCGTAGTTCAGTTACGCTCATAGCTACTAGCCAAAACTCTGGAGTTAAAAGTTTTCTGGCTTTACAAAAATACCTGTCTGTACTTATATGATTGATGACAGTTTTACTTTCTATTAGACCCCAAATGTAATCATTTGGCACGTTTCTAATTCATAATTTGTAAGAATGTAATCGGTGATATTAGCATTAGCATTCCTATGGGTTTTTCCATGTATATTAGCATTGAGCTAACCACTCGCTGCCAAATTGCAGCCTTTGCGATTAGAAAATCTCCTTTTGTCACATCACTATTTAATTGCACATATTGTTCAGCCCTAATATACATGCAGCTCTATGCTAAAAGTGTATTTTCAAAGAGGTAATGATGGATTTCTTTGTAAAAGTTGTCCATCTTTCCAACAGAAAAATTTGCCTGGACCAACGTAACGTGATAACAACGTAACGTGATTATGTAACTTCCGTAAGGTTCATGTTCAGCCAATCAACTACTTTGACATCATCGGCAGTCGAAGCACCCCGAGCCGATCTTGCACCCGAGAAGATCCTATACCGACACCGGCCCTCCAGGCCCGGAATTGAATAGCCCTGTTTTAAGGCTTATTTATTACTTTTATCCAAATTCGTGTTTCTATCCTTCATGACTATTTTCTGTGCTCTGAAATAAGTGCATTGCTTTGAAATCCCCAGATTTCTTTGTGTGTGGCATAAATCTGACCCTACCATATGATATCAGCATACTCAAGTACATCCTTCGCCTTTGTGACAACTTCCCCAGCTTGATCCGAAGGGGTCTGCCAAAGCTGCTGCGATGGATAAAGGACCTACACAGCAAAACACCCATGAACATAGTGGCCTCGGACGTGGTGACTCGAGCCAACTTTGTCTCAACGGTGGTGAATCTCAACTTTAAAGCCCTTAAAGCAAATTAAAAATGTTTCAGTGATTTTAATGATAAAGGAAGGCCTTTTCGTACAGAAGTATGTCACCGGTGAACATCTGGAAGCTTACCTGTTGACTTTTGTAACTACCTATGATCATTTGAATAAAGCTGAATTTATTGCTTCGGTAAAATCTAATTATCAGAGGTTAGCTTTTCTTTAGGTAAAATGAGGCAAATATACAAAATGCTAAAATAATATACGCAGAATAATAATATTGTAACGTGATGGAAGTGGTTACCTTTAAAGAGACAATGTGTATTTATTTTTACCATTAATCTGGAAATATCCACAAAAATGATGTTGAAATTAATTAAAAGATACCCAGTTGTTGAAAAATATTGTAGGCTTCATAACATATTAACGTACCAATGGCCAAGTATGTCCTTAATAAAAATCAAGTCTAAAATACATGGGAGCGGGTCCAAGTCTCTGGGCGACGCCGTATAGGAAGCCTAGGGCACTTCCGCATCATGGATCCCCGGAAGAACGAAAAAATTAATGCAAGTCAACGGGGCTAAAAATGCTATTTTCTAACCCGCTTTGCCTTACTCCCTGGATCACACATATGTTGTACTGCAATTTAAATTAAAACTATTGATGGGTGTTTTGACCACACCAGTCACGTACTTTGAGTTTTATCAGCTTGTAAAAGTTAGTAATTAGCATGACTACAAACTACAAATCGGCACGTCGTATATGTGAAGCCACCACATAATCTCCTCTCCCCTAGCGTAGCTGCTACTTACCAAATGATCAAATTTATGGTAGTTCCTTCCTCCTGTGGAAAGTTTGCTGAACTTAGAGCTCCCTTCCCTCAGTTTTCTCCGTGTCTGGTTCGATGACGTCACTTTTGTGAAGTGCATTTGTGGTCCTGGACTTATTTTCACACAAAGCCTAAAATATCATTCACCCCCGTTCGAAAATAAGCACGTTCTTGGTTTCTAAATGCATCTTTAAAGTTCACAGACATCATATGTGAAATCCATGGCACAAAACAAGCGGAATTAGAAAATAGCGTTTTTAGCCCCTTTGACTTGCATTTGTTTTTTCATTGTTCAGGGGACCCATGATGCGGAAGTGACTTTGGCTCCCCATTAGATGCCATGTTTCCTTCTACGGGAGCCGGACAAATTAATTTACTGATTTGTAACGAACATTTACAAACTTTCGCCATTCTTAAATGTAGTTGTTTTACACATTTACCTCTTCACTTGTTGCCAGTAATGAAAGGAGTCTCATGTGCTGGTTATTTGGCTGAAGTTTGTACTCCCCAGGGCTTTTTGACCATAAAGGGCATCCGTTGGTAAGGTCTTACTCCAACACAAAAATACTGCTTGCTTGCAATGATTTAGGTATCTACTGCTGCCTATGGCCAAGAAAAATACACACTGTCACTTTAATGAATGATCAATAAGATGTGATATTCCATATAAATATGAATTATCAATATTGTTGATCTTTTAATATTTGATTTAAATTGAAATCAGGTCTTTTTAGCAGTTCAGAGAAATCACACCAAATAATTTGAGACCGAGGCAAAAATATAGTTAATAAAATCCATTTAGAACTATATTTCTAAGCTAATAATGACACAGAACTAATTATGATGAATGATGGTTGAAACAAGATAACTGAGACCATGAATGAAATGATTGACTGTAAGCTTAGATGTTATGTAGCAAAACCTGATTGTCTTAGAAAAATGTAATGTCTGGGTTGTAAATAAGTCTGACTGTATGGTTTAACAAACTATCAATTAATGAAATCATCCACACCAGTGGTGCAGAACCTGCGAATCCTTGTGTTTGAATGCTCCCCGTGATCCAGGGTCCGGAGAATTTGATACGGACAGGCTGCCGGTGGAGTTGACTTCTGGGGTATTCCGAGTACGTAGTTTCACCCCAAATACGGAACCGCTGGTCAGTGATACCCTCAGGGTGAGTGCTGGTGGTCAGATGAAGTTTTGCAAAGAAGGTTTGACCTTAAAGGATGGTTCCTTATACTTAACTGATTCAGTCGACCGAACTGGGCAGCTTGCTAGAACTCCCTTGGAAGAAGTGTCAACTCTTTTTGATATATGTTGTTTATCAATTTAGACAAATCAGAGCTTAACAAGTTTAAAGTGGGTGGTTATCACACACCTCAGACACCACTCCTTTCTCAAACGCTTAAGAGAGATTATTTCACCTAATGTGGAAGTGAATATATTAAGTATTCATAATCATATTGTAACATCCAGCAATGGTCAGTTTTTAGGTACAGTTTGACCATTCAACATCTGGTCAAAATGGAGGCACGAGGCTGCATGTGTTCCTTTTAAATTGGCCTGCCTTCACCCCATCAGCTGGAGCTCAGATCCTCTCTGCAGCTCTGAACAGATGATAACAAACTGTCAACAATGATGTTCTCTCCTCAAGGTCCAAGCTTCCCTTATCGTCCTACAGGATTCTTCATGCCTCCAAATAAGTAAACACTCGCAGCTCGGATCAGTTGCTAAATCAAAGAATGATTTCCTAAATTAAATATGAACTTCTAAAACTTATAAGTTAAATAATCATTAAATAAACGTTTGTTTATTGCTACTTATAATAATTATAATATAATGAAATGCTTTCATTAATATGTGCTCAATGATTGAAGTGTGAAATGAATGTTATGTTATGATTACAGTGATTGAAATATGTTTCAGCATGTTTATACGACAAGGTCATCACCATTTGCACCCACACAAGAACAAAGTAAGGTTAAGTTAAACTCATGACACATAGATAGCCCTTTACCCCAGATCAGAATGTCCGGATCAAAGAAGGCGCGTTTCTGAGTTATCTTGGTAACATTCCTCAACTTGTCAACCTCTGGTTGGCTACACAAATCATAACATGAGAACATTAAAACTGGATCACTCTGGTGATTCATCAGTTCTAGAGAAAGCTTCAGACCGGCCACCTGAAGCAAAAACCTCTCTAACCCATCAAAGCTTTTGACACGTCGTCAAAATCTTTTTGCACCTGCGAAGCTGATACAGCGAACGGTTCCTGCAGAACAAGCTGATATTGTTTAGACTCCTTAAGAGTCCCAGACGTGCGGTTCCATCCGTCAGTTGTGACCTGGAGACAACTCTAAGACCGGTCTAGTAATGCCACAGTTTCTTCTATGGACGCCGGTGCCTGGAAGTCCGAGGACTTGGATATTTCGGATCTATCACGAGGGTCTCCGAGAACAGGTGAAGTAGACACACAGATAGCGTCTGATGCCTTTTGATAATAATCAACTTCGTAGCTTAATGCAAACCAAATTCTTTTACACCCAGATCTCAGCTCTCCTAGATACGGAAGTTCTGATAACATCGCATTCACACATAGGTTCATACATCACATTCAGTTCCATCCATCACAGTAAATGTTGGGTAAAAACTGTTAATAATGTCTTTAATGGTTTGACATCTGGAGGTTTTAAATGAAGGTTCATTATTCATCCATTTCTGTTTCTCTGGGAACAGCTCTAACAGGGAGGACCGACTGTGACCTTGCCCTCGGTATCAGAACTGGCACCCCCTTATCAGTAGTCCTCTGGGTTATAGGCCAGACAGCTCTGTTGTTGTAGAAATTGCACCTGGTGTGCCTTCCTGCCTGAGAGGCTATGAGAACCTCGAATGTTGGTGTGTAATTGTGTGTGTGTTTACCAGTTTGTGTGTCTGCCTTAATAAATGCTTTCTGAGGGTTTTGTCTGATGAGAGCGAACTGACTACCGACTCGTGTGTGTCATTGATCTCTCTCCACTTTGCAAAGTCTAAATTGTTTATTGTTGGTCAATTATTGGTGTTGATTATTGATCAGCTTATTAATATAACCCTTGCGTGTTGAACTTTCCCTAAGGTAACCCTGAATGGGAAATAAAATTACCTAACAGTAAATGTTAGTTAACTTGTCATGTTTTAATTGTTTGTAAAATAAATTCTTACTTTTATGAACCTGACTCTTTTCTGAATCAAAACGAAGTGTGTACAATCCCTGAATAAACAAAGAATCCTAGAGTCTTCTGATTAAATACAGTAAAGACCAAGCAGGGTGATATTCTATATTTAGATAGAGTATCACAGCTTATTGGTCATAAGTAGAGGTAATATATATATATATATATATATATATATATATATATATATATATATATATATATATATATATATATATATAGCTCTTAAAGCACTCAAATTCTCAAACCCTACAATATTATTAACATGTGATCATACTGATCAATAATTCATTATTACATTCCACAAATAGACTAATCTGGTGTAAATAAGACCTGAAATAAATCATTACAGGAATGAACATTTATGTTAACCCATTATTCATTACTGTAGACCAGGGCTATACAATTCCGGGCCTGGAGGGCCGGTACCCAGCATGTTTTAGTGGATTCTCAGCTCCAACACTAGATTCAGTGGTTGAATCACCTGTGCAGCAGCTCATCAGGCTCTGCAGAAGCCTGTTAATCACCTGCTGATTGTAATCAGGAGTGTTGAAGCAGGGTTAAAACTAAAATGTGATGGATACCGGCCCTCCAGGCCCGGGATCGAATAGCCTGCTGTAGAGCGTTCAACATTATTAAAACACTTTGGATTTAAAACATATTGTAGATGCCACAGAATGATTGTAAATACCTTGTATTTTGATGAAAAACAGGCCTTGACCATGCTACAAATGATTTAGTGCTAAACTGGTGGAGTTTTCTCTCCTGCAGCCAGTTTTTTTCAATTATTTTTTCCTATTTGTGTTTACTTTTACTAATGTGAGATACTGTTTTTTAGAAGTGCAATAAAAAAATATACCATAAATTAATTTTTCTATTTTTCATAATAAATCACATTTTGTAACCATTCTGGTCATTATTATATTTGTGCTGGGGATAAATAAACGTTGAGAAACAAACAAACAAACAATAAATAAACAAAAAGGTCAAAGTAAAACAGTTTTGTCGTTCCTGGTCTGTTGGAGCGCCCTCGCGTGTTAGAAGACGGTAATGCAACAACATGCCTCCATGCCTAAGTTTTGCCATGTCAACAACGCTGCCAGTGTTAGCGTGCTAAAGAAAGTCTCTTCAGGATTACGATGTTTAGGCTAGCATGGCGTCACTCGGTGTGTAGAGACAGCTTTGCGTTGACCACGCGCTCTTTGGCTGCAGCGTTGTTGGGACCGGAGCGTTCGCAGCAGGGTCCTCTTCGCAGCCTCATCTCCAACCCACTGAGCGATAGGTCACCGGTCCTCCAGCCGCAGCCGGCCCGCTACCTCAGGTAAAGCCACCTCCGCTACGTGGAAGCTAACGCCAGCTTCTTAAACATCTCTCCCACTAGCACACCTGACCCAGCCACACAAATCTGTGCTACATGTTTAATGCATAACGTTGCACGCGGCATGATGATGTCAGATCGTGTGTGCGTACCTCTCAATTAAAACGACGTTCCATGCAGAAACATACACTTTTAAACTCCGACAACGTCCTGTCTTCCAAGAGAGCGGGCATAATAGATAACAAAAAACAGTTGTTTGAAGTTGAATGTGTTAAACTTTTGTTCGGCATATCTATTTACGTTATTGGGTGACGCATGTTTCCTGTAATTTCGTTATTAGGCACAGCACACATCACTGCTAACAGTACGGACTTTAAGGAAAATGCAATGGTTTGTGTCCTGTGTGCTAAAATGTTTCGCCCGATTTCAACACTAGCATCTAAACTCATTTATGTCTTACAGTTACACTATCAGGAGCAATAGTTTGTACCTGTAAGCCAGATCATATCGAATTAGTCACTATTTGAAAGGAATTTTGACGTTGCTGGCAGTCAGCCAGGTAGTGATGAAACAGGGCTTTTTGCACGGTTGCAGGTAAAGGCAGAGGTGGTACATTAATGAATGGGCGTATAAATAAATGAACTATGTAGAATAAAATGCATGTGGCAGGAAGATGTATTAAACCAGGTACAGCATACAGGTGAAACTCAGAAAATTAGAATATGGTGCAAAAGTTGAATTCAGCTCAAAGGCGAAACTAATATATTAGATAGACTAATTCCATGCAATGCCAGATATTTCAGCCTTTATTTGTTTTAATAGTGGTGATTATGGCTTACAGCTGATGAAAACCCCACATTCAAAACCTCAGATGCTCGTGACAAGGTTCAATATTCTAGACTCAAAGTGTCACACTCTGATAAGCTGATGAATCCAGAACACCTGCAAGGGGTTCCTGAGCCTTTAGATGGACTCTCAGTCTAATAAATGACATAAATTGACTGTATTCTAATTTTTAGGGATATTCCGATCACAAAAATTCCCCCCCCCCCCCGATCCGATTCAAAGTCATTATCATTAATGCATGTATTTTTCTTTTTTTATATGCCATTTATTTTGTTTATCTGCCAAAAAACATCAATTGTTTAGAAGGTACATTAAGAAACGTGTGAATATTAAGAATATATGTATAAGTAAATTGACGTTTATCATTTACATTAATTAGAAACATGTTAATATTAAGGATATATGTAAAAGTAACCTTGTTGCTCATATTTTAAATCGTTTACTCGGTGTGTGGCTGTTTTGAGTGATGGGTATGGCACGGCACATGACTGTCAGCAACAGGGTCACTACTTTCTACAAAACACCTCTAGTGCTGCTGCTTTAAAGTTAGGAAGATCACACCGCAAATCAAGGAGAATGTAAAACCCGACGTTTGCAACTCATCCAGTGGCATAAATGTACTGCTGTCTTGGCAGTTTTGCTGTCCGTAAATGGTAAGTGGCCTGTATTGTGCAGAACCTTCTTAGGGTTCTACAACCCCCCAAGGTACTTTACAACACAATCAGTCATTCCCTCATTCACACACACATTCACACGCTGGTGGGGATGAGCTACGATGTAGCCACAGCTGCCCTGGGGCGCACTGAGTCGAGGCATGCTGAACACTGGCGCCACCGGTCCCTCCGACCACCACCAGCAGGCAAGGCGGGTTAAGTGTCTTGCCCAAGGACACAACAGCAGCATTCTCTGGTCAGAGCTGGGATCAAACCTGCAACCTTCCGATTATTGGACAACCTTCGCAATCTCCTGAGCTACATCTGTTTCCAGGCTGCAGACTATTTCTTGTTTTTTAATATATTTTTAATGTCGGCTGGCGTATGCGAATTGTTGCAGTGAACTGAGCAGTTATTTTTCTTAAGGTGGCGCGTCAGACTCGTGTTGAACGCAACACTAGCAGGGTTTTTCCCCCAGCACTTTATAAGCCTGGCGGCCCACCAGGCTTTGCTTGGCCACCCGCCAGGCTAAGTGTCATGCCCCGCCCCCCTCCCTGACCCTACCGTGTCCGCTGACACGAGCGGCGCAACGAAACTAGAGCCCTCGATGAGCTGATACTGGTGATAAACAGCAGTGAAACGTGTGCAACCCCCCCACTCCCGCTCTTACAGAGGAGCGCTGCGGCACGCTGACTCGTTTGCTTAGCAACGTTTATGTTTTATCTCCACTAATAACTCAAACCTGAATGAGTTCTGCTGTGTGGTGTAGTTGCTAATGCTACCGGTTAGCTTCCAGCCAAGACACTCTGCTGTTTCCTGGACGCTAAACCAACAACAGCCTTCCCCGTCGTGAGCAGAGATGGGTGAGGCTATGAATGCTAGGCCTGTCAGGCTTTTCTGAACCAAACCTTTTTTCTCTGTTTCATATTAGAAGCTAATGCAGAAAATGTGGATGGAAGACTATTTTCATGCTTAACCTGCATATTAAACTCGACGTGACTAATCATTTTCAAAAATAAGTAAAAATAGATTTTTGACAGAACCAGTGGCGTCATTCATTAAACGTTCATAGAAATATTCCTAAATTCGTTCCTATGAAAAATTGAGAATTTTCGTACGAAAGGTCAAAATTCTGATTTATGAAACATGCTTTGGCTTCTCATACGCACGTTCCTCCGCACTCTTCTGATGATAAATCCCACCTGTGAGTGCCCAGGTGCTCGTGTCCATTCTCAGTTATTTAGATACAGAAACACCCTCAACTAACCACATTTGGTAGCTACGTCCTCAGCACGTGAGGGAATTCCCAGCGTTCTACCTGGAAAAAAGAAAGAAAACTTTGTTGCGAGATCGAGACTGGCTATTGAAGTGCAAAATAACCAGAGAAGTGGCAGAGGTTATAAACGCGATCGAGACAGAGGAGAAGTTCCCGTCAGGAATAAATAAAACCTTAAATATAATCGTAGAGTAACTAGTTGTCATTTACATTTTACATTGAAGGAGTCATTCTGGATGGTGTTTGTTTTATTTTGAAATGTCTGAGTGCAGCCTCCTCTGAGCTGTCATTAAATCTGCTTACCTTGACAACGCGTGTGTGATCGAAGAGCAGAGGAGGTTCTGAGGGGTTCTTGAAGTTGTTAAATAGAATATTATGGACTGGAATCGGATTTGTGAGGTTTATCTGTCACTCCGCAAAGTGGCCCAAATCACACCGTAGCTCTAGAAGGATCTCCTGTCAGCACGCTCACAGGAACGCATTTACTCAAGAGAGCACGCTCTGGCAAATTCTTAATAATAATATAGAAATGTTCTTTTATCTAGTGCATCTCAAGCAAGATCACGAGGAGTTTCACAAGGACCTAAACATAATATAACAATAATAAAAAATAATATTAATAAAACATTTGAAAAACAGAATAAAAATGCGAAGAGAAAAAATTGTGATTACTAAAAACACGACAGTCAGATTCCCGTCGAGTGTTGTAGCATCAATTATGTGACTCAGCAGCTTTCCCACCGAAATATTTATTTAATGGGTAAAGTAATTAGTGGATGAGGAACGTGTGGATGACTGAGAACCTCGGTGTTGCGGTTCCCACGTTCTACCACTGAATGCTGTTGCTACGCATGGTCTGAAGTTTTCTTATACTTGGGTAACATTTTCACACACAGGCACAAAATGATGATACCACACAATGCGTAAACTAGTTCCTACGCACGATATACGCACAGATCTGTTTGTAAGTACGTTGATAAATGAGGCCCCAGATCTTTCAACTCCCTTTAGTCATCGTCACTCACAGGTGAAATTACATCTTACAGAGAGTGTTCGATAATTGTTTAAACAAAATTATGCAGGTGTGTAAATTTGGCCGCTGCTGTCATTTTAATGATTCCAAAACCTTTAGAACTATTTATTGGAATGCAATATTGGTTTCGTTAGCCCAGTGACCCTTGACCTCCTTACAAAGGTGAGTCCAGTTATGAGAAAGATTATTTAAGGGGCCAATTGTAAATTTTCATCCTCTTTGAATTTTCTCTGAAGAGCAGCAACATGGGGTCTCAGAACAACTCTCACATGAGCTGAAAACAAAGATTGTTCTCCATCATGGTTTAGGGGAAGGATACAGAAAGCTGTCTCAGAGATTTCAGCTGTCTGTTTCCACAGTTAGGAACATAATGAAGTGGAAGACCACAGGCACCGTTCAAGTTAAGGCTCCAAGTGGCAGACCCAGAAAAATCTCAGATAAACGGAAACAAAGAATGGTGAGAAGAGTCAGAGTTCACCCACAGACCAGCACCAAAGACCTCAAACTTCATCTAGCTGCAAATGCACTATTCGGTGCACTTTACACAAGGAGATGCTGTATGTGAGAGTGATGCAGAGGAAGCCTTTTTTTCCCACTTGGGGACGCATGGATTCCACTCAGTTTCAGCAGATTCTGGAGACCGATGTCCAGGAATCAGTGACAAAGCTGAAGCTGCACCAGGGCTGGATCTTTCAACAAGACAGCGACCCTAAACACTGCTCAGAATCTTCCAAGGCAGAGGAACAAGTAGAATGTTCTGGAATAGCCATCTCAGTCCCCAGACCTGAATATTATTGAAAATCTGTGGTGTGAGTTAAAGAGAGCCGTCCATGCTCAGAAGCCATCAGACCTGAATGAACTAGAGATGTTTTGTAAAGAAGAATGGTCCAAATTACCTTCAACCACAATCCAGGCTCTCATCATCACGAGCTTTGTGTTGTAAGTAGGGCTGCAACAACGAATCCATAAATTCGATGAAAATCGATTACTAAAAGCGTTGGCAACGAATTGCGTCATCGATTCGTTGTGTCGCACAACTCTTCCAAAAGCCGGATCCCACCCCCACCCCCGCCCCACCTTCCCGCCCGCCGTTGCGCGCAGACCAGAGCAAGTCAGATCAGCGCGAGGGAGAGCCGCAGATCAGCGCGAGGGAGAGCCGGCAGATCAGCGCGAGGGAGAGCCGCAGATCAGCGCGAGGGAGAGCCGGCAGATCAGCGCGAGGGAGAGCCGCAGATCAGCGCGAGGGAGAGCCGGCAGACTTGCGCTGCTGCGAACCGGTTCCGCATTGTTGCACAGCGATCCAGGCAGCTGCTTCCAGCGCACGGTCCATTCTCAAAGTGGCGCAACCAAAAAACTATAATTAGCACACGATCGTTCTTGTCCGCACATGTTCTCTATTTTCTGTCTTATTTGTGCCTGAAGCTCGCTACTGCGGAGCTCATCACCTGTGTTGTGGTGATTTCACCTCACGCAGCATCGAAAACGCGCTCTGCGCTTTTCGGTCAGGAGATCCCTTTGATCTGCTCAAAAGTAACTGATGAGGTGAAAAGGTAAGAATCCATGCAACAGATTTTCTGGAGAATTAAGAGGAGATGCAGGAAGATGAGAGACAGACAGGACAGGAAAATAGTTAAATAAAAACAAGAAAACAAAACAAAGTGTTGAAAAGTAAAATGTAGGTAGATTTATCTCCACTACACGTTTTTACCAGTAAAAAACAATAAGTTATACACATGTAATATTTATACATCTGATACAATTCAGATCACCTTCAAAACTCAGTCACACACCCAGGGCCGTTTCAAGACATTTTGGGGGCCAAGGCAAAATGCCCCCCCCCCCCCCCCCCCATAACTGGGCTCCCCAGAAGCCTCTGTGTAATTCATACCCTCTCCAGTAGTGTTAGTTATATGGTGTTTATAAAAGCCCCTCAGACATTACTGACATGTTCTAATATTATCAGATGAAAAACTAAATTATCAGACATGCTGTCTCATCTGCTTCTTTTATAAACTTGCAAAAAGTAACAAAACCATTTGAAAGCCACTATTTGTGGATTCTCTGAAAGTTTCCATGGAGTGTGTGACAACTTATTTTTTCATTGATCCTATCGTCTAATCTCACAGTTGAAACAAGCATCCTTAATAATCTGTGCACAGGAAGCTTACCGATGCTGTAGTAAAACAAAAGGTATAATAATTTATTATTAATAAAACCTTGTTGCAGCACTAAAGCAGAAAAATGAGATTTTGCATTAAATATGCAAAATATTTACATATGAATTGTTTTAGATCCCTTTTATTGGCAGAATCTGATATTAATTTAGTTCTTACAAAAAATGGGTCCCAGCATGGTTTGTGTGGCGTTGCCATAGTGTGACGTCATAGGCACAGATCCCCTGTCCTCTTGTTTGGAAATGGAAATATGATCACCCTACATTAAACAAACTGTCCACCCGGGCTTTTGCACTGCACAGAGACGCTTCGCTGCCTACGACTGAACGTCAGTTGAGAGTCAGTCTCATGCAGACTGACCAATGAAGAGAGGGCCTCAAGTTAAGACCCTCTCCTCATTGGTCAGTCCACACGAGGTGGGTCAAAGGTTACTCTGGGCGGGTTACGTGTTGTCAGGCATTCAAGTATTGAGTATATTTACTGCATATTACAGTAACATATTCTGTATGTGACCACATTATGGTGATCCTCGGGTCGTGATGATGGAGCCCTTGAATATTGTTGCCCAGGGTACAACAAAGTGTTAATCTGGCCCTGGTTCCGCCGTCACATTCCCGCAGAAACTGGTTGATCACACCGGGGCCAGACTACTAGCATGTGGTTTTACAACCACAATGTCCTCGGAAGCAAAAACGCTTTTAAAAGGGAGGGAGGAGTCCTAACTGTTGCTGCAGGCGTGTTGTGTGAGAGTGCAGTTATATACTGGTTAATATATTTTTGGGTTCAGTTGCTTTCATGTGGCCTAATGTGAGTCTATTTGGGATCATTGGAATGATCAGCAGCATTTCTTGATGTGACTTTATGGCAGTTGCCCAGGGCATCATCGCAAGGAGGATGGCATTCATTTACTTTTGTTTTATTTGGTATTTTTTCAGTCATTTTTGGAAATAGTGATCAATTTTGATTAATTCACAGCCTATGTTTAATTACATTTAAAATAAATGTCAACAGATGAGATCAAACAAAACAGATGAGAATTGCCCTTAAGCTGTTTAACTTGGACCAAGCATTTTAGGTCACAGATAGATGTAGCTTAGGGTCTCTGTCTATACACCTTTTAAGACAATTTAGGTGATGGCATGTTGTTTTTCTGCTATTGAACTGTTTTCTAATAATGTTGTGTTAAATAAAGTGAAGGAAGGAGAGAAATAACGTTTCCCTAGCAGTTTTTAAAAATTTCACCATGTAATCCGATTAATCGTGTCGAGACCCCATCCGATTAATCGATTATCCAAATAATCGTTTGTTGCAGCCCTAGTTGTAAGTGAAAGAACGAGATCACGGATACAAGCGGCCGAAATTTGTTTTCTCCGCAGGGTGGCTGGGCTCTCACTTAGAGACAGGGTGAGAAGCTCAGTCATCCGGCAGAGGCTCAGAGTAGACCTGCTGCTCCTCCACATCGAGAGGAGCCAGTTGATGTGGCTCAGGTGTCTGATCAGGATGCCTCCTGGACGCCTCTCTGGTGAGGTTTTTCGGGCATGTCCAACTGGGAGGAGGTCTAAAAGACCCAGCTCAGGCTGGCCAGGAAACACCTTGAGAGTCCCTTGGTGTGGAGCTGGCCCAAGTGGCTGGGAAGAGGGAAGTTTGGACCTCCCTGCTTAGGCTGCTGCCTCTGCAACCCCGGATATGCGGCTGATCATGGATGGATGGATGGAACTTTAGCGGTGATGAAAACCATATAGTTAAAATGTATGTGTGTATCCAGTCCACCTGTTTGTAGGAGCATGGCGTCAGGAGGTGAGCAGGAGTCCACTTGTCATAAACACACCAACAGGTTGGCCAAAGAGAGATCGCCCTACCTCCTACAGCATGCACATAACCCTGTTGACTGGTGAGTCCATTTAAACACCATATGTACACAGTTTGTCAAACAGACTACACATATCCAAATGTTTCTTTTCTGCAGGTATCCATGGGGACAAGAGGCTTTTGAGAAGGCAAAGACTGAAGACAAACCAATTTTTTTATCAGGTTAGAACATATTTTCAAACCTGTTATCAACATCCAATAACTTCTAGGGTTTTGGTGCAAAGGAAGAAACCAAAATCACCTCACAAGTCATATAGAGACCTGTACAGTGGAAGCGTGAGTCATGTAAAAAGTATTAACCCAAATGAACTAAATATGTCTTGGCTTTGCTCCAAATCAATGAATCAAATTCTCTGGGTTCAGGTTGTTTCTAAAATTCTGCAACAGTAAACAGAGAAATGACCTTGGTTAACACCAGCCTTTCCTGTTTTCACCACTGGAAGATCTGGCTCTAGCTAGGGTCAGATGACAGATGTTTTTGTCCTTGCACTGGCTCGTCTGAGCTGTCACGGGCAATGTGAGGTCAGGCAGATCCATGTGCAAACTGAACAATTTAAACAAGGCTGCATAACTGTGCATCCATAGTTGTGCTAATCTGTTTCTTCCAACCCATTTGCCTCTGGTCACCAGTGGGCTACTCCACGTGCCACTGGTGCCACGTCATGGAGAGGGAGTCTTTCCAGGATGAAGAAATTGGTAAAATCCTTAGTGACAACTTCATCTGCATCAAACTCGACAGAGAAGAGAGACCTGATGTGGACAAAGTCTACATGACGTTTGTACAGGTTAGTGCTCTCATATCGCCTGCTGCTGAAAGGTGAAAGGACCAGTTGAATGTAACTGATTTACATTGATTTTTGTACATTTAAAACATTTTTAAAATAGTTACATTTTATAGAAACGTGTTTTTTTCTTGCTGCAGCACATAATAGTAACATGGGGCTAATGCAACCACTAGGCGGCAAATATGCATCAATCACTTTTCTTACTATGCAGGGGTACGTTTTCCAGCTAAACACCATGGAAAAAGAACTTGACATAATCCTGCATTAATACCGCTGAAGTTTTATTTCTAAAGGACTTATGTTGTGGAAAGCACAGGTATGGACGGACTACACTTTTACTGGCAGGGTATGCATGCACTTTTGTATGAGGCAGCCATTGCTCATGAGGAAGAGTAGAAGGTGAGTGTTTCAGTCCCAAGACGCGTGTCAAAGTACCCTTGGGCAAAAGACTGAACCCTGAATAAGTTCTCAGTCAGGTTTACGCATATTGAGTTGAACGTTAGTAGCTGAGAGTAATTCACAGCACAAACTCTGAAGTCTAACCAAACATGCAGAATCTTGCAATAAATGCAAGGACTATGCTTAATGATGTAGAAGGTGGCAGTCATTCTACACCTTTGATTTCTGTTCCGATTGGGAATGTTTCCAGGCAACAAGCGGAGGTGGAGGCTGGCCCATGAGTGTGTGGTTGACTCCTGAGCTGAAACCTTTTATTGGAGGCACTTACTTCCCACCCAGAGACCAAGGAAGACGACCCGGTTTCAGGACAGTCCTGATGAGAATCATAGAACAGGTGGTCACACATTATTCCCGTTCAGATAAAGAGAAGAGTAGCAAATCAGAGAGCGGTGTCATGATCAAACCAAGTATCAATCATCCGGATCTAAAACAGCCATGCAGAGAAAGTTTTAAAATGTTTATTTTAAGGCCCTAGGCCTTTTTTCTTTGGGCCCTGGCGCCTCCCAATTGGGGACCTTTGGAGTTTCATGTCCCAAGTGTCAGTGGTTGTTTGCATTCCCCGAGCACAGCTACAGCTACAATTATAACAGTTTAGATTGTAAACAAAGCGATTTTTGGTTTTTGATACATTAAGATAAAATACTTGAACTTTATTTGAGAAGAGCTGCCCTGAGTGAAAGTGCTAACAGGATGGAGGTTGTGAGTTCAAATTCCATTTAGGAAATTTAGTCAATTGTTTTATTTATTCCATGGGTCCTCAACTACTTTTGTTCAAGTTTTATTTTTCCAGCAGACACCACTGAAGGTCAGATGCTCTTCTAAAATAAAGCTCAAATATCATTGCGTCTTAGTTTATTACAATTTAAAATGGCCTTGTTCCCATCTGGGCTGTTTGGTTGTGGTTTTAGTTGTGTTTGGAGAATGTGGACAGTTGTAGATGTTTGGGACATGAAACTGTGGAGGCCCCGGATCAGGGGGCATTAGGGTTAAACAGGTTAAGGACTTGATACGGCGATCTGGGCCCACTGGAATTGCTCTGGGCCGCGTAGCCCGAGAGACAGAAAACAGTCAGCGAGGGAAATTACTCTGATAACTGGTTAGAGAAGCATGACCGACCTCCTGAATTCTGCAGCAGCGTTCTGTGGTGAGCGCTGCAGATAAAGATGACTCCTCAGGTCCAGACAGGGGCTCAGGCGGAGACGGTGGTCAGACAGGCAAGATACTAGTGGTGAAGGTCGTGCGAAGGAGTCGGGCTCCAGCAGACAGATTCTGTGGTCAGGCAGGCAGACAGGTGGTGAGTCAGGCGGGCAGGCAGGCGGGCAGGCAGGCAGGCAGACAGGTGGTCAGTCAGGCGGGCAGGCAGGCAGGCAGGCGGGCAGGCAGGCAGGCAGGCAGGCAGGCAGGCAGGCAGGCAGGCAGTCAGGCAGGCAGGCAGACAGACAGACAGACAGATTCCGTGGGCGGGCGGGCGTTAAAATGCTCAAAAGCCTGTGAGGTCAGCAGACGATCTCGCACTGAGCAACAGGAGCCAGGTGCTTAAATAGGGAACAGCACGGGTGGAGTTGATCAGCTCAGATTACTGCTGCTGCAAGGAGGCAGGAGAACACACAGTCACCAGGGCAGGATCATGACAAGTAAAAAAAGCAGCTAATGTCTTAAAAGACCTTTAGAAAGCCTGCCAGGTGTGGCTCCATGGATCCAAAATGGCTCTGTAAAGAACTGTTGTGTGAATCTAATTCCTATTGACCAGTAGAAAATATATAGTTTGGTGTGAATCTGATGTCATCATGAGTTTCACCTCCCAGTGGCAGAACAACCGGGCTGCTTTGGAGTCCAGTGGGGAAAGGATCCTCGTTGCTCTGAGGAAAGGCACGAGCATCAGTGCCAACCCAGGAGGAAGTCCTCCTCTTGCCCCTGATGTAGCTAATCGCTGCTTCCAGCAGTTGGCTCACTCCTATGAAGAGGAGTATGGAGGCTTCAGGAATGCTCCAAAGTTCCCCTCACCAGGTAGAGACTGTTGGACTCTTCACCAGGTTTAGCAACTTTCCATTTTTATTACATTTTCTTCTCAGATACCAGAAAGCAAAGACTACTGGGGAAAGATTTTACACTTCAAACGGTCTCTGTTAGAGCCTCAAAAACAGTCTGGCTCACTGATCATTTCCAATGAGTTCAATGTGCCTCTGTTTCAGTCATGGTGTCCAATCAAACAAGAATAAAGGACTGTAAACGGGTAGACAAACAGAAGATTTATAAAGGGTAAACAAAGGTTTTCTGATCATTTCATTGGGCATCGCAGAGTGTCTTTTCTTGCCTTCTGCTTTGAATAAATCAGTTTTTAGGAGAATTGGGTGGAATTGTTTTATCATGTATTACTTCTACACAGGAAACCATTTTAATATAGGCAAAAACAATCTGTTTAAGGACTTATAAACATCAAAAGACAAAGAAAAAATTCGAGGGTCTAATTTCAGTCAGTTCAAAATCCCTTTGTTCAAGTTTTATAATCACTATACAGATTTTTCTATTATCCCCCTATAATTCCCTTCTTTCTCACAATCCGGTTGAGCCGTGCACCCATGAGAGTCATTTCCTGCTCTCTTCTTTATTTTTGCTTTTAGTTCCTCTTCAGTTATTTTTTTTCTGTTCATAGACTTTATAATTTTGGCACTGGTCGTTGGATCCAGACGTTTTTTTGAACCACATCTTCCAGGTGTTGCTGTGATCTGCTGCTTGAATGACAAATTACATTGTTTTCCTGGAATATGAATTCATAGTTAGGATTCAAATGATGACCGTCATGGAGCCGTCCATGGAAACAAGTTGACAACTTCTTTAAGTCAAATCAAGTTAGACAAACTCTAGAACCACATTTTTTAGACTGACATACATTTAACTGCACACAATGAAGAGTAAATATATCAACCAACCAACCAACAAACCAAATGAAAAAACCCAATTCCCTCTGCACCTGTACCTGGCACATGGGACATTTAACTCCTGCTCAACAGAGTGAAAAAACCATAATGGAACAGGCCATTTCGACAATGCGGCCAGATAAGGATGAGCGCAACCCTTTAAGGACCGATAGACATACAAGATCTTAAACTTAGCCCGGTAGCAGACAGGCAACCAATGTAATGAGGCCAACATGGGGATAATATGTTTTCTTTTCCTCGTCCCAGTCAAAAATATGGCTGTCGAGTTCTGGGCAAATTGCAGCCACTTCAATGATGCCTGACTCAAACCTGCATGCAGTGCGTTACAATAGTCCAGGCTTGACAAAACAAATACATGTAATACAGACTCAAGATGAGGTCCTAACAACGTCTAGGCTTGATTTTAGTTAGCAGTCATAAATGAAAGAAGCAAGACCTCACCACCATATTAATGTGGGCCTCAAATATGAGATCTGAATCCAATCTCACCCTCAAGCTAGTGGCCACTGACTACTGATATTGCGACAGATGGAGCATTCACATTTACAGGAGGACCCCCACCTGCTTTGTTAGTTGGGTAAAATGCGATGAGCTCAGTCTTCTCATCATTCACGTGAAGATAATTCGCAGCAATCCAGGACTTGACTGCCCCCAAGGGGAGTAAATAAAGGGAAAAAATAAGTGTCCCGGGGACTGATCCCTGTGGTATCCCTCAACACTGGTCCTCCCAGGAAGACAAGGCTTCACTTGCCATAACACAAAACCTCCTTCCCTGATATGATCTCAGCCATTGAAGAGATGACCAAGTGGTCCCCTCCCAGTGCTCCAAACAATCAAGGAGGATGTCATGGTCAGTCACGTCCAGTGTGGCCATTATATCCACTAACAGCAACACCACAGCTATAGGGAGCCTAAGTCACGCCCATCTACTTCTGCATCAAGGGTCCCCCGAAAGAACGAAAAAATGAATGCAAGTCAATGGGGCTAAAAATGCTATTTTCTAATCTGCTTTGCCTTACGCCCTGGCTCGCACATTTGTTGTACTGCAATTAATGACGGGTGTTTCGACCATGCCAGTCACGTACTTTAAGATTTATCAACCAGAAATCGGCATGCCACCTCATAATCGTCTCTCCCTTAAAGTAGCCGCTACTTACCAGATGGCCAGATTTATGGTGGTTCTTTCCTCTTGTGGGAAGTTTGCTGAACTTACAGCCATTTTCCTTCAGGTTTCTCCGTGTCTGGTTCGATGATGTCACTTCCGTGAAGCGCATTTGTAGCCCTGGACTTATTTTCACACAAAACCTAAAATAGCATTTCCCCCTGTTAGAAAATAAGCATGTTCTTGGTATCAAAATATGTCTTTAAAATTCACGGACATCCTTTGTGAAACCCATGGCACAAAACAAGCGGAATTAGAAAATAGCGTTTTTTGCCCCATTGACTTTCATTCATTTTTTCATTCTTCCGGGGTCCGGAAGTAGATGTAGGCTCCCTATACCAGACGGTCTTATCAGGTCTGAGCAGAGGACTCAGCAGACCCGTAAGCCTGACAGTTGCAGGTCTGATCAACAGGCGTGCTCACAGCAGACACGACGACAATAATGCCACAACGGGTTTCTGAATGAAACATGGCCGACGTCCAGTAACATCATCAGGTAAAATACAGCAGGAGTGGCACTGGAAGAAGTCATACAGGAAGTACATCCTCCAGCACTTTTTGGTTAAAGGATCTTCCAAGCTTGACATTTTTCTTGATTTTGCTCAAACATCTGTGTTGGAACGTGATTCCCTCTCATTTTCTTCATTTTTCTCCTCTTTTTCCCCCTTCCTCTGTTTCCCTTCCTCCGCAGTGAATCTGATGTTCCTCATGTCCTACTGGTCTGTGAATCGCTCAACATCAGAAGGGGTGGAAGCGCTCCAGATGGCCATGCACACACTCAGAATGATGGCACTGGGAGGCATCCATGACCACGTGGCACAGGTTCACGATAGGCCTGTTAATGTTTGACATTTGAAGATTTTTGATGCATTTGTACAGATTGTTTATGTAAGAAAGAGGAAAATAGCCTTTCCGCATGAGTTTCCTTTTAAGTGAAATAAGCAGTTTTACAGACGTGTGCATATTCTCATACAACCTGTTGAACTTGTGTGTTTCCAACATAAACAACACAGATTATCTCAGCTTTCATGGAACTCACCTGACTTCAGAAAGACCTGCACTCGGTCAGGCCAGCTCATTCAGCTATTCACACACGCTGGAGACTTTTGTCAGATTGTAACAGCCAAAAACCTACCAAGCATTCTGCCGATGTTTGTGACAATAGGAGGGGAGCGTTACTGGAAGACTAGATGAACGGTTCTCTACAAGGACTCGGCTCTCATCGTTCACTTCGAAAAGCCGTTCAAAAGACGTGATTTGTTCATTAAAGTCACATTACTATTGATGACTGTCAAGTATGAGATTTGTGCACAACCACAACAGTGGTTGGAAACCAGACTGCAGATGAAATAAGAATACATCTTATCAAACTGAGACATAATGAAGAATAACATTAAAACTACATGATTGTGGTTATTTGTTTAAATGTCCCACATGAGCCTGGCTCAGTGTGGTTCCTATGGTAAACTTGCAAGTTCCTTGCAACTATTTGTCTCCACTTAGTCACAAATTATGTCTTTGCTAATATTTTAATTTTATTGTTTATTCTAAAATGTACATGTTAAAAAACCCATCTCCTTTAGTTTTATTGGCTGTGACTAATTTTGGTAAGTTCCGTGTCTCTCTGTGTGTTTATTTTTCAGGGCTTTCATCGATATTCCACGGATTCCTCGTGGCACGTTCCTCACTTTGAGAAGATGTTGTATGACCAGGCTCAGCTGGCTGTGGCTTACATAACTGCTTTCCAGGTGTTCAAAATGTTCCTGTATTAATGAGTTTTAACTATCTCTCAGAGTCATTTACCTTCATCTGCCAACAAAGTCTCCACTCGAATGGCACGTAGAGTCAAAGATGTTTTTAAATCATCTCTTTTTGAGTAGAACTCGTTTGAGATGCAACATTCATGCATGTAGTTGAATCTGAGTGTATTTCCTCATGACTATTTGGTGAACTGACCTATTTTAATGCAGAGGCAGACTCAAGCACAGAAACTCATTTGAAACTAAAGTACAGCCACACATGTATGTTTTTAATGTAGACAACGGGGTTGTCCTTGGACTCTTGTGGTATGCTGCAAATAAATCACACAGGTTACACACTGGTTGAGTCATGAGACTTATGCAGGTGCGTTCCATGTGTTTCTGCTTTTCCAGGTGGCAGGCGAGCAGTTCTATGCAGATGTGGCAAAGAACATACTGCTGTATGTCTCCAGGGACCTGAGCGACAAGGTGAAGCTCTCTATGTGTCGTTGGTTGGTTCATACACTGTTGAAGTCCAAAGGTGGAGCCTTGCTGATAAAAAGCTGTTAGCACTGTTGCTTTTCCATACAGTTCAACCTTTCCTTTCCTTTGATTATTGAACAGCTGTAAGGACAGTATAGGGTCCTAGGGTTTCTGTAACACAGAAAATGCAGGAATGGAGACATCCAACCAAACAAAGAGATTGCAGTATTCATCCATCCATCCATCCATCCATTTTTGTTACCCACCTGTCCACTTAGGGTCGTGGAGGGCTAGTGCCTATCTCCAACAGTCTTCAGGCAAACAGGCGGGGTACACCCTGGATAGATTGCCATTCCATCGCAGGCAACACAAAGACACACAGGACAAACAACCATGCACACACGCACTCACACCTAAGGATAATTTAGAGAGACCAATCAACCTGATAGTCATGTTTTTGGACTGTGGGAGGAAGCGAGAGTACCCGGAGAGAACCCATGGATGCACAGGTAGAACATGCAAGCCAGACTAAATAAATGTATGATTTAGTCTGGCAACGCTCCATTGGCGGCTCTCGGTTGTGGGGCGGGTTCTACTGTTGTCTTTCAAATTATCTCTGCATGCTACTGGACAATGAATGTGACATACTCACCGCAACAGCCATCGGTAAATGAGGCGGTCCACAGTTGAAGAGGGAGAAAACACATTTTTTCTACAAAAAGCTCTTAAATACATCTATCTGCTCTTGATTCTAATGAAGCCCAAGTTCTAATAGTTCAACATTGATGTAAAAGCCGTTTGAAACGAGTTGTCGCCATCTTGTTTCACTCTGTTGCATCATCCCACCCACCAGGCATATAGAGTGCCCTGATTGGCCCACAAAGCGGATAAAGCTCTGTGATTTGTTCATTAAGCAGATAGAGCACTATGATTGGCCCACCGTTATGGACCAATCACAGCTCTTTATGTGTTTGAAACCCCTCTAGAGAGCTGTGATTGGCCAGCCAGAATGCTGTTCGGGGCTGCAGAGGTTCCTGTGGAGCGTTCCTAGACCAAACTTTGCAAAGCAAGAATTTGGTCTAGCTCACTAGGCTACCCCAGGCCAGGATGTGAACCCAGAACCTTCTTGCTGCAAGGCAACAGCTCTAACTACTGCACCACTGTGCAGCCGGGATTGTAGTACAGCTAATATATGCAGTATCAGCCAATGAATCCAGAACACTTGCAAAGGGTTCCTTAGCCTTTAGATGGTCTCTCAGTCTAAGATGTATTAGTGACATAAATGGATATATTTGGATGTTTCCAGTTTCACAGATGTGATCAGATCACCACTTAAAGTCAGACACACATGTAAGAGGGAGCAGAAGCCAGATCTGCTAATGCCTACAATTCAACTTAATCAACACAGCTAACTTGCTTCAGGGAAGTGTAACTTTATTTTGTTGCATCACTTTTTCTTTTAGAAGAAACTGAAAAGCCTCCATTTGTGGGAAAGCACTGCATAGAAGAAGAAACAATCTTTTATACAGCACCTCTATAGAGAAAAATCACAAGGTGCTTCACAAGACCAAAAACATAATAAAAAACTAACACACATGTAGACAGATTTCAGAAAATTTTTTGAGAGTCATGGGTCTTTTGTGTATGCAGACACATTTTCAGATGTTTGAGTTCAGCTCATGAAAAATGGGAGCAAAAACAAAAGAGTTACCTTTATATTTTGGTCAGTGTGGAAAAAGCTAAAAATGAAGAGGGTATGGTGAAGGTCCCACAAAATCCAGCTTGAACAGGTGAGTTTCAGCTGCTTTTTAAAGGAGACCACTGAGTCCACTGATCTCAGGCTCAGGGGGAGAGATTTCCAGAGTCTGGGGGCCACAGCAGCAAATGATCTGTCACCTTTGGTCTTTAGCCTGGTGCTGCACAACCAGTAGGCTTTGATCACTGGACCTCAGGGACCTGCTGGGGGTGTGGGGACTAAGAAGATCACCAATGTATGATGGTGCTTGTCCATGTAAGGCCCTATAGACCAGAACCAGGATCTTGAAATGAACCCTGAAGTTGACTGGCAGCCAGTGAAGCTGGAGGAGAAGCGGGGTGATGTGGGTGTGTTTGGAGGACTTGGTCAGAAGCCGAGCACAGGCATTCTGAACCACCTGTAGACGGTTCAGGGAGGTTCTGCTCAGACACGTGAAAAGAGAGTTACAGTAGTCTAAGCGTGAGGAGATGAAGGTGTGGAGAACTGTCTCAAGTTCGGAGCGGGACAGAATGTGACTCAGCTTAGCAATGTTCCTGAGATGGAAGAAAGAAGAGCGAACAAGAGAACTGACATGAGAATCCAGGGTGAGAGTGAGAAACACTGAGCATGTGCTGACGGCCGACCACCGGATACACGGCAGTGCTTGAAACTGATGGCAGCTCGTTAACAAACATCCACAAACAATTAAGACGCATTTTCGCCTAATTTATTTATTGACAACGCAAAAAATTATCTGGTAATTATAACTCACTCAACCTGGAGGTAAGTGGAGAAAATTTAGAAAGTTTAATAAATTATATTGACGACGTTTTTGAGTTTTTCGTTATGGGTCCAACGAAATCAGCAGCTGAGACCGAAACACCTGGGACCAAGAGGAGCCATCCTCAGGACTCGCCTGAGGCCTCATCTCCCCGTAAGGAATTATTAGATTCTAAAGATAAATGGCTTCTGGGATTTGAGGGGTGACTTCATCTGCTTGAGGTTCTACACCAGGAGTTTCAGAACCTCCGAACATCTTTGGAGTTCAGCCAAGAGCAGGTTGAGCTGCTCGCCGCTGAGAACGCGTCTCTGTGGGAGTCCATTTCTTCTCTGGAAGAGGGAATGACGCAGATCACCCAGGACAACAAGATTCTGAGGGAGATGGTTTTGGACCTTCAGGCATGTAGCATGAGGGATAATTTGGTGTTCGCAGGCCTGCCGGAGCAGACGGGAGGGGCGGAGAACTGCGAGCAAACAAGAACTTTCTCCAGACCCAAATGAAGATACCCGAAGAAATGGTAAAAAACATCACCTTTCACCGGGTACATCACCTTGAACATTTTAAGCAGAAGGATCTTGTTAAAAGTCATGGAAGAGAGCTCATCCAAAAAGACTTCAGCGTGAATGACCAGTTCCCTAAGGAAATTCTGGATTGGCGCCGAGTCCTCTTTCCACTGCGCAAAAAGTTTATCCAGGATGGGAAGAGGGCTGTCATCTCGATGGATAAGCTTTATGTGGACAATAAGCTTTACAAGGAGCGATGAGTGACAGACTGGCTTTATTAGCCCAGGATTCACTGGGTTTGAGCACGTCAGGATTAAACAGCTGCTAAATCCGTATTCTAGATGATATCACCTGTTCGTCACCACCTCACACCCCTGTCACCTTTTCTTTTTAGTTCTTTCTTCTTTTTTAACCTGTATAATTCTTTCCTTTCCTCTCTTTATCTGCTTCTGTACCTTTACATCTGTATGGCACAACCACACAACTTTCCAACACTGCGTCAGACTCAGCACACACACACACACACACACACACACACACACACACACGCACGCACGCACGCACACACATATATATTAAATCCACAGCACAATATCATAATTTATGCGTCAAATAATACAACCACAAACACTGTTGGATTTTTATTATTATTACCGTGAATCCTCTAATACAGGACTGTATTCAATTAACGGCCGGGTCTCATATTTTGGCCGGTGTCAGAGTCGGCGGAGGTGAATAATGGCCGGTCTCTTATTGTGGCTGGGTGGAATGTGGTAACAAGCAAGTACGGGGGGGGCGGTTGTGTTATCGTCTCACTTTTGATTTGCCAGTGATAGACCGCGAGGGTAACTTTAACCGTGCGGAGACGAAGAGGAGGCGAAAATTTGATATCAAGTTCAAAGAGAACGTGCGCTGCAGAACACTGGGAAGCAATAGGGGTTGTATGAACTAGTCGACTTCACTATAGTGACTTTTTATGCCTGTCATCGACTAGTCGCTGTCACGTGCTAATGACCGGCAAGATGCAGCCCTCGGAAAAGACAGCAGCCTGCTGTCAGCAGGTGACAAGCTCCTGCGCTCGGGGGGGTGGGGCGCAACGCGCTGTGCAGAGCGTCGGTACTGACACGCGATCGTTCATGTCGGTTCATTTCCTTTAATGTTTTCTGTCTTTTATTTGCGCCTGATGTGTTTCGCTGCTGTGGAGCGGGGCGCATCACCTTGTCCTCCGACGCACCGATCACTGATGCGGCCGCCAAGCAGCGAGGACTCTGCTGCTTTTGCGGTCGGTAGATCTTTTAGAACTGCAGTTCAAAGGTAACTTATGAGGTGAATATATATGAACCCAGGTAGCAGTTTCTCTTTAGGATTGAGAGGAGATGCAGGAAGATAATAAACAGGCAGGACAGAAAAATAGTGAAATAAAAACAAGTTAGTTTTTGTACCTGGTGGTTGCAACAAACAGACACCATTGAAGGTAATCAGAAGTGAGGAACAGAAAATGAAATAATTATTTTAATGTTTAGAGCAGCAGGAACTCCGAGAGGCTGCAGGCGCATCAGTGAGTTTGCGCTGCGCGGGGGAGGGGGGAGATGGCTGAAGCAGAAACTACCGTTGTTAAAAGAAATGTGTTTAACTTTGAAAATGTGGGCGCAATTTTAATTGTCAAAAACTCCAGCGAACCATTAGTTCATTTTGCTCAAATAGAAATAGAGGCCTGCCTCTAATTCTGGCCCTCCTTCCAATAAAGGCCTGGAGCTTGATGAGCTTGAGTCAAATACAGGCCCGGGCCAGTATTAGAGGATTTATGGTTATTCCATCTTATTCACTTGAAGGCGTCATCTATGGGCGCACTAAGGTTTGTCTCATAAAACGTACATGGAGCTGGCTCCAGAGAGAAGGGATTAAACATTTTTGATCAGCTAAAGAGAGTGCAAGCAGACGTAATATTATTACAAGAGACTCATAGATCTGCCACATCCGCAGATGA